GACAGAGATCACAAGTAGGCAGAGAGGCAGGCAGAGAGAGGAGGAAGCAGACTCCCCACAGAGCAGAGAGCCCGATGCGGGGCTCGATCCCAGGACCCTGAGATCATGACCCGAGCCGAAGGCAGAGGCTTTAACCCACTGAGCCACCCAGGCGCCCCCAAAAGTGCTTCATTTTAATCATTGTTACTTAAGTACACTGTTTTTTTTTTTTTAAAGAGCACTGACAAAACATTCTCGAATTCATTGTCACATTTACTCTTCAGAGCAGTCCCGTGAGGTTGACATCCACATTTTACATACGAGGACACTGAAGCATAGAATGCAACTAATGAGTCATTGAACACCACATCAAAGTCTAATTTGTACAGTATTTGTAACACATTTAAAATCTGGTAAGGTAGATTCATTCATATTACATTTACTTTTAAGAAAAACCTGGTGGCGACGCCTCACCAGCTCAGTAGGAGGAACATGTGACTTTTGATCTTGGGGTCATGGTTTTGATTCCCACATTGGATATAGAGATTACTAAAAATAAATAAACTTTGAGGGGAAAATTTTCTGATGATTCTTATATTTTCCCCCGCTAGTTGAATACATTTTTAAAATCCCTGATCCACAGAAGCCTGGGAGGCAAACTAGATCAGCCTCCTAAGAACCTCTGTTTCATCCTGAACCCCTCTTCCTTCCAGGGAATTACATTCATCACCGTGGGTTCTTCTGATTCCATCGAGCTTTTCAGTTCACTGGAGAGCAATCAGGAGTGTTTTGATTGAGCATCTAGTGTGTCCTAGAGAAAGAGCCAAGGCTGCACTGACAGGAAGATTTCACCGTAAAGGGGAGGGCATGCTGCAGCAAGTCTCATTTCCCCGTTCACCAAATGAGGGCTGTGGAAGCCTCACTGTGCATTTGACTCTCGAACATGCAGGAGTTAGGGATGCCAACCCCGTGAGTTCAGAATCCACACAGAACTTTTGACTCCCCCAAGTCTTAACTAATAGGCTACTGTTGACTAGAAGCCTCACTGATAACATATATGTTCCATGTATTTTATATTGTATTCTTATTTTTAAAAAGATTTTATTTATTTCAGAGAGAGAGAGAGAGAGAGAGAGAGAGATCACAAGTAGGCAGAGAGGCAGGCAGAGAGAGAGGGGGAAGCAGGCTCCCCGCTGAGCAGAGAGCCCGGTGCGGGGCTCGATCCCATGACTCTGAGATCATGACCCGAGCTGAAAGCAGAAGCTTAACCCACAGAGCCATCCAGGTGCCCCTTTATATTGTATTCTTACAGTAAATTAAGCTAGAGAAAAGAAAACGTTACTGAAATCATAAGGAAGAGAAAATATATTTAAGGTACTGTATTTATTTTTAAAAGTCCAGGTATAAAGGAACTCATGCAGTTCTTTTTTTTTTTTTTTTAAAGATTTTTATTTATTCATTTGACAGAATGAGAGGGAGCAGAAGCAGGAGAAGCGTCAGGTGGAGGGAGAGGGAGAAGCGGCTGTCGCCTCAACTGCCTGCTCATGACCTGAGCAAAGGCAGACGCTGAAGGGACTGAGCCACCCAGTGCGTAGGACCCCATGCAGTTCTAACCTGTGTTGGTCAAGTGTCATGTCATCTGTACTTGGTAGTTCAGGGCTGCTCCCTACAACCCCGTTCTTTGTCTTTCCACTCCTTGAAAAGAAACTTAAAAACAGAATCCTCTTTTTGGGGTGCCTGGGTGGCTCAGTGGGTTAAGCCTCTGCCTTCAGCTCAGGTCACGATCCCAGGGTCCTGGAATCGAGCCCCGCGTCGGGCTCTCTGCTCAGTAGGGAGCCTGCTTCCCCTTCTCTCTCTCTCTACTTGTGATCTCTGTCAAATAAATAAATAAAATCTTTAAAACAAACAAAACCCCAGAATCCTCTTTTTATAAAAAGTAGTAAAGACATGGGTAGGCAAAAAAGAAAATTAAAATGCCCAAGAAAAGTAATGAAGTAAAATAATTCTATCACCTATGTTCAACCAGGGTTTAACAATGTGGCGCATATCATTTTACGTCTGTACTTTTCAAATAGGTTCAAATCACTCAAACTCTTGTTACACGCCATTTTCTTTGTACAATGTATCACGATCACGGGCAGGTCAGCGTTCTTCCGAAGCATGATTACCAATAACCTCCCAGGAGCCAGTCCTCTTTGTGAAGCATCTTTCACCAGATGCTTGGCTTGTTTCCAGGTTTGCACTTGAACAAACGCTGAAATGTTGATCTTTCTGCCCATGTCTTCTGCATCAGCTTATGCACATAAGCTGTGGCATCAGAGAACCTTTCCAGGAAGAACTTGACCGCCTGTTAAAAACCAACTCGAAGTCGTCCTGGTCCCTCACACAAGCTTACTTGTGTGACAGAACCCACAGCTTAACAACCACCTGGGCAGAGGCTAGACCGTGACTGAGCCAGGAGGTGGGCCGTTTAGTGATTTCCATCCATCTTTTAGCGGGTCTGTGAGAACCTGGGACCCGCCCCGGGGCCATCCTAGCTCCGATCTCTGGGTTGAACACGCGGTCAGGATGGCGTGGATGTCAGCTGTCTGTCCTAGGTGGCCGCTCTGGGGGGCGGGCAGGTGAACCTGCACCGCAGACCCCCGTGCCCTCTGCGGGGGGCCACTATTCAGATCCTGTCTCCTTGGGGTGGCTTTTGGATTTGAAAGGTGCCCTCTTCCCACGGGGGCAGGGTGGGGTGCGGATCTCAGCATGGGAGGGGGACGTCTGCCCAGAAACTGTGAACTCCGCTGGGCTTTGGCTCCGTTGTGCACCCGCGCAGGTGGTGTGGGGTCACTCAAAGGTCACAGCTTTCTCCTGCCCCCGCAGGCACGAGGGTCGTGGTGCTTTCTCCTCCACTGCCAACCAGACTCTCTCCGCAGCCCACGACCCCCCAGGCCCTGGCCCCACTCTTTCCTGCACCTGAGGATGCGCAGAGCCAGGCTCGACTGCCCTCCAAACCCCCAGAAACTCCTGGTTACTCCAGAGCCCCCACAACCCCCCCCCGGAACTTCTCCGTTTCCCCAGAACCCGTGTAAAACCCGGCGGCCCTCCCCCGCGCAGGGGTACGCCGGGGCGCAGGTCCGGAGGCCCGGGTTGTCGGGCGGAGCCCTCGCCCGATTGGCTGCGGCCTCGATACTTTGTTGCGACCACGCCTCCTCCCGGGAGGTGTGGGCAGAGCACGTGCGGCGAGCGCGGAAGCGGGGCACTGCGAGCAGCAGGGCGGGTGCCTCTGGGCAGGAATCTCGCCCTTTGCTGCGGAGCAGCGCACCCCGAAAGGTACCGGAGCGGGGGGTGGGGCAAGCCAGGCCGAGGGGTGCCCGGGTCAGGGCGCCCGGTAGAGCCACCTACCCCGGGTCTCCGCCATCCCTGCCTGGGGGCTGGGGCCCCTCCGTGTCACCTGGGTATCCCCCCAAGAGGCCACTTCGTTCTTGAACTCCAAGGTCCCATCCGCAGAAGCCTGGCTCTTAATCTCCTGCCTGGCCTCTTTTCCTAGAGCCAGTGCTGGGGCCGAAGTTGCGGGGTTGGGGCGGGCCGCACTGGAAGAAGCCGGGGTCCTGCCAGGAGCCCTCCCCCTCCCTCCCCACCAAAGCCCTGGAACCTCGGCTCCCTTGAGGGACGCGGGATCTGGGGCCTCCTGCCCAACGCGATGGGGAGAAACGCTGGGCCTGGAGTTAGGATCTGGCGAAGGGAGAAACGCTGGGCCTGGAGTTAGGATCTGGCGAAGGGCGCTAAGTCTCAGAAGCCGTGGTATAGTTGGGAGCGTTTCCCCCTGCTGGACGGCCCCAGGCGCTGAGGAGGACCCAAGGGGCGGTGCAGGGCGGAAAGAACTAGAAACTGAGGCCAGATCCTCCGCCAGGGAGCGCGCACAGGCCTGCCCTCTGCGGTTCCGCGCGCGCGCTGATCCTTATCCCCTTGGGGAAAGCAGTTGGGTGGCGTCTGCTAAAACCACAATGCCATAGAGCACCAGCCTTTAACCTCGCTTAGGCGAGTCGTCTGTGGAGGTAAGAGGAATCGGGACCAAAGGTATCAGGGTTACTATGCTAACGAGTGTCCGGGGGTGGACAGGTGTTGAAGCAGGTCTGGCCCCTACTGTCGTGCGTTGCCTGCGGGCCCATTCCTATGGGTTAGGGAATGTGCCCGGTAGTGGCCAGATTGAGTCATGGCATAAGTAGTCTCTCTTTTGATAAAAACTGCTGTATGTATACATAGTCAGATTTTTATAAAAAAAATTCATAAAGCCCTCGGATCCAACTTGCCATAGCTTACCTCTATGTGTGTGTGTGGGGGGCAGTGCAGAGTGGATGGACCAGGCATAGGGTGGCCCAGAAAATGGTTCATTCTTTTGTATGTATTTTTTGAAAGTGCAGGATTAGGGCAGTCTTTAAAATTTTGTGTTTTTCAAATATGTTTATTTTCAAGATCATAGTAGTCAAAAGCAGATGGTGCTAGTCCTGCTCCCGCAGGCCCTGGGGCTCCTCTTTGCAGGAATGTCCCCAACGTCTGCCAAGCCCTTAGCTCAGGGAACGCCCCACTGCTCTGAGAGGCCTCGGCATCCGTGGGCTGGACGCAGGGGAAATCTAATGACCCCAATACACAGGGCCGCTGGCCTGATGGAGCCCAGAGGAGTGAAACACAACACGATTACCTTGTATGTGTAAGACTGGGGCAAACAGAGAGGAGGAGACATGGGAGGACCAGGCTGGGACCTGTGGATGGGACACAGACAAAAGGGTCACAGGAATGAGATGAACCATCGTAGTGACAGCACCGGGCACACAAATGAGGACTGAAATAGGAAACTGGAGCAGGCACCGATGCCCCTTTGTCTTTTCTCAGAGCGCTCCTGCCACCATGTTACAAATGCCTGTGGCAAGAGGGGCCTTGCCGAGGTGTGGATGTACGTGTAGTCAGCCCGCAGGCAGTGCCGGCCGTTGTCATGGCTGATGTCTTGTTTGCAGAGGCCCGGAAACCGACACAGGATGCAGAGCTTCCTGAGGCTGCTGAGGGAGAGTGGGGGCACTGGGCCCCCCTTGGAGGGGCTGGTGACTCTTGCAGGCAGACTGTGCCGCGACCTCCAGGATGACCCAGCCCAGGTGCAGCCCTTGGTCACTGCTGTGTTGGACAGTCCCCTCCGCCTGCACCTCCTGGACAATGCGGATGTGGCCCTCGTGTGTGCCCGAGCGCTGGCCCAGCAGGACCAGCACCAGGCTGCCTGCCGCGTCCTGGAGGTAAGACCCGTCTCGGGGCCGGGGGAGGAGAGCCACAGCAGCCACCACCGTCTCCAAACCAGTGGAAGCGCCTACAGGTCGACAAGAACCTGGGGAGAGACATTCTAGAAACCAAGCCAGGATGGTCCACTCTCTGTGCAGAGTTCTAACTACCTTAATAATTGGAGGCCAAACGGTCTGTTTGTGAGCTCCATTTTGAGTGGTGGTCCTGGCTTGGAGAGTTGGGATCCCAGTGGGTAAGACAGTCGCACAGACCGGGGACCTCAGTCCCTTAGCTGCAGGCCCGTGGCTGTGCACGCAAACTGAAAGTATGGTCGTCACTCATCGGGTGGTACTTGGGTGCACAACTCCTCTGGCAGCAACGGGACGTGAAGCCGTTACGGTCTGTAGCCACTTAATGTGACCACAGGACATTCTGCTACCTAAATACTGGTACGTTGGGTTACAGCATCCATCACATAGGACATGCCTGCATTATTTCCTAAACTCTGAGAAATTCTGAATTCCAAAATATGTTTGGCTAAAAGGGTTTCAAAGAAGGGGTGTGAGGTCCTATTTTTCCTCTTTCACCCCATCATACAGCTCATGCAGAATTCATGCTGAATTTATTTTCAAGATAGTTTTTTTTTTTAAAGATTTGTTTATTTTTCAAGATTTTATTTATTTATTTGAGAGGGAGCATGAGCAGGGGGAGGAGCAGAGGGAGAGGGAGAAGCAGACTCCCCGCTGAGCAGGGAGCCCATGTGCGACTCGATCCCAGGACGCTGGGGTCATGACCTGAGCCGAAGGCAGACGCTTCACCGATGGAGCTGCCCTGGCACCCCGAGATACTCTGTTCTTTCCAGTTCTTTCAGTTTCCACGCCCTTCGCCACAGGCTGCATAGTGCCCTCGTGTCCCCTTGGTTTGTTCTTCACGTAGCCGCCGGAGAGCTTGCAGGCACCGATGAGCCACAGTGAGCCCCGAGCCCGCGTTCTGCGCTTGCCTGTGCCCCGCTCTCCCCGTCAGCCTCTCCACGAGCTTTCTCCGCAGTCGTCACGCTGCTTCCGTGCTGTTCAGACAATCCCGAGGCCTCAGGACCTCAGCACGTGCTGCTCCCTCTGCCGGCGGCTGGAGCCCGGCTGCTTGTGTGGCTGCTGCCTTTCCTCCTCGCTGGTTTCTGCTGTAAATGTCTCCCCAGCTTGGCGGTGCCCCCTTTATCGTGCAGCGTAGAGTCTGGTTCCCCCTGCGGCTCCTTCCTCGGGTCTTTGTTCCGTGGTACTGTGGCCCATGAGGGAGGCCCCCCTCGGTTGTGCTTACGTAGCAGCTGTGAGTCAGCGGGGCTCCGTGTTTCACGTCCATCAAAGCGAACAAACAAGGGGAGACATGGGTCGTGGTGCCCTGTCGAAGCACTTGGTGGTGAAACGTGTGAATGACACTGGTGATGGAAAACCCCCGGAGAGGGGATGTAAACTCGGTCTGGACGGCCCTCAGCGTCTCTGAGGAGCTGGCATGTAGGGGAGACCTGAAAGAGACGGCGGGGACGGCACACCAAGGAGGGGCACTTCCTGCCCAGGGCCACGTCCTGCGGGGGGCACGTTTCCCTGACAGCTGTGCCCTAGGCTGATGGCTGCATCCTGGCAGCCGACTGGAAGTCACAGCCTGGCAAAATGGGCTTTTTCCGCTCTGTGGAGAGAAGGCTGGATGACTGTCGGCACCTCCCTTGCCAAGATGATGCTGAGAACATTGGGGTTAAATGCGGGAACCACACGCCGACCACAGGGCTGTGTCAAGGGGAGGCCAGCACTGGGCATCCTTGGCCATCTCTGGAGTCTGGTCGTGTGAACAGGTCATGCTGGATTGGTGAGCTTGGTGGGGCGCAGACGAGAACCACCTCATTCCTCTCGGCTCAGAATGCACTCCCTGAGCATGCGAGGGGCAGCCCTGCTGGGTGGGAGAGGAAGGTCTTTCATGCAAGTTGGGGGTCAGCCCTTGGACCCTCAAGTCTGATCAGGTGCCTCTAACTGTGGCTCTCCCTCTCATGTGTTGTGTGGCCCCGGGCCATCGTTTGCCTTCCCCTCGCCTCGTGCTCCCCGTCTGTAAGGAGTGGCGGACAGCTGCTTTGTGTGTGCAGGGGGCGGGGACTGACAGGACCTTGCCCAGGCCCTCAGCCAGCAGCTCCTCCTGCAGGTTGGGTCAGGTTGGAGGGCAGTGCTCTGGGGGCAGCCGGGCCTCAGCAGGCTTTTCTCTACAGGGATGCCAGGTGCCCGGAGGCAGCCAGGAGCTGGTCCAGCTCTGGAACGACCTTCACTACCATCTGGTCATGAAGCGGCTGGGCGTGGCCACGCTCACCCCAGTGCAGAAGTTCCGCTGCAGAAAGAGGTACACCGCTGGCCTTTATTTGTGCATGCTCCCCATGACTCCTGGGGGTGTTTCATCTAAAACCACAGAGGGGCTGAGGTGAAGCAGAGACAGGAGGTGAATGTAGGAAAAGTCACAAGAAGTAGTAATCGTCAAAAGGTAACAGGCTCTGCGACAGCCAGTGTGCCCAGCACTGAGCCACCCTCTCCACCTGCTCAGCCGGCCACGGGGGTGCACCCCTACTTACGCCTGCAGGGTGAGAAGGGCCACTGCCTTTCCGTGAGGGCTCTGAAGGCTCTGCAGGGAAGGAGGCAGCCAGTGGACATCCCGACCTCACTCTCTTCCTCTTGTCTTCTCCTCCCGTGGGAGATGCCCAGCACATGTGCCTTTAGTCATCTGATTCCCACAGACAGGCTCTGCAGGTGCCACGGGCCGGGGTCTTCAGCACCACCCCTCAGGGCTGCGGGACCTTTCAAAGAGAGGTAAAGATGAGAGTGATGGAGGCGTCAGACAAGATGCATGGGGTGCTTAGGAGATCCTGGCACATGAGGGATGCTGGGTCGCGTTAATAGTAATTACCACCACCGCCGTTATCAGCACTAAGGAAACATTACAACTGCTAATTACTATTGTTCCTTCATTACCACTTATGGATGAGGAAACTGAGGCACAGAAAGGTCAGAACTTGCCCAAGCTTTCACAGGAGAGAGATGCAAAGCTGGGATTCCAGGCTAGACACTGAGACTGTAGAGCCTTTCTTCATCCTGGGTGTTGCCCCCTGACCAGGAAGGGCTGATGTCCTCTGAGTTCCTGGCAGCCCAAGTAATGGGATTTTTGCACCATGGGGCCTGGTAACCAGAAGAAGCAATGGATTCTTTCTGGATCCACGGTGTCTGTCAAAGAATGAGATATGTCCCCAAAGCCCAGTAGTTCAGCCTTATGGTCTTCGGGAATGGGATCCTTTCCCTCCATATAGTTGCCGATGGCCTGCCAGAGTACAGTTCAGTAAATGATTTGGGGATCAGTATGCACTGTTTGTAAAGAGGCCCCTGATGGCTGGGTGCTGTTGGAGTTGCTGGGGATATAGCCTGAGCCCTACTCTCCTGGAGCTGACACTTGGTGCAGACAAGGGACAGTAGAGAGGACACAAAGTAGATTCCATCGTTCTGAGCGGGAGTACTAGACACAGAATGTTCTTAGTAGAGGACTGTGCCACCTTCGTTCTTTGTTTTGGGGTGGAGGGTGCTGGACAGGCTCCTCTAAGCCTTGGCAGAGGAGGCCTGAATGTGGGGATGGCAGCCCTCGGAGGTGTAAGGATGGGGTGGTAGTGGAGTTAGAGCGATGGTTGGTCCACCAGCTGAGGGTGGTGGTTTCTCCTAGAGGGGTGTCACCCAAGGGTGGGTTGGCATAGGAGCAGAGGCAGGAGGCTCTCGGGAGTCTCTGGGTGTGTCAGGACAGATTTTGGAGGATTTGCTGAGGAGCTGGATGTGTTGGAGGAGGTAAAGAGAGAATAAAGCCAGCCTGCTGGGCTCTTGGCCTGACTGGCTGGAACATGGTGGTTTCTCACTGAGATGCACAGAGCTGGGGCCTGGGGGAAGATGGGGAGAGTGAAGGATGAAGCTCCATTTGGGATGTGGCATGTGTGGGACGCATTTTTGACATCCACAGTGGTTTGTTTAGTTGGCCTTTGAGTATCTTGGGTGTTCCCCGCTGGTACCATTTGTGTCCTTTTGTTAAAATCCATGTGGATACCCAGCAAAGTGAGTAGCGTGACCGACCTCAGTCTCCTCGTCACCCGCTCTCTATAGCTCTGGGCCACTGGTCGGTGAGCGGTCCCAGAGAGCACGGTGAGGGGTGCAGGTGAACACGGGCGGATGCTGGGCCCCTCGGTCCTTCCGAGGAGGGACTCGGCAGCACGAGCTTGGAGAGGAGGAGCAGCCGGCGAGAGGAGAGGACGCGTGGGGGTGCACAGTGCGAGCCCACGAGGTGCAAGCGGGAGGAGCGTCTGTAGCCCCGTCCTCACTGTCCTTATCCAGGAACCCACCACCGCCCTCCCTCTGCCCCGACGGCCTGAAGAGCCGGAACTTTCCCAGAGAGGTTCGCCAGAAGCTGCACGACTTCGCCTCTGCCGTGAGCACCAACCCCAGCAAGGCCGAGAGGGTAAGAGCCGAGGAGGCGGAGGCCAGGCCGCCCTCCCCTTCGCTGCCCCCCCACCTCAGGGAACCCCCACCCTTGTGGCTCCCCCCGCCTCCCGGGCCTTCCGCGGGGCCCTCTGCTGGGGCGCCGGGGGCTTCTGGCCCTCTGAGCCTCCCTGGGGGACAGGAGCTCACTGGCCGGCAGCTCCGGACCGTCCAGCCTGCGCACGTGGAGGGTCAGTGCCCTCCCGCCGCGCTTCCGGGCACGGGATGCGGGGGTGAGGCGACGGCGGTCACGGAGCTTCCCGCGGCGGGGAGGCAGGCGTTCGCAGAGCTCCGTGCCTGTTGAGGCCGGCGGGCGCCCTCGGCAGCGCGTCCCGGAAGCCGAAGGGACTGGGCAAGGCGCCGCCCGAGAGAGTCGGGACTTGTTCTCTTCCCTGCTTCAAAGCTCTGTCCAATCGGCGGGAGCTCCCCTGTGTTAGCTCCACCTACTTGTCGCCGTCATCCAATCGACAGGGCGTTCCCGAGTGGGGGCTTGCCCAGTCAGCGGGGCGTTCCCCGTGCTTGCTCCACCCACCGCGTTCCCTGACCGATCGGCAGGGCTTTCCCAGCGATACCCGCGCCGGCTCTGCGGGCTGGCTTCCGGCGCTCGCGGACCTGTGGAACCTCGGCCGACGGCCTGTGCCGCGCGCCGGCTCCCTGCGTGGGTCCCAGGCCCCCGCTGCCTCCCGCCGGGCCGTGGCGCCGCTCGGGCCCTCCCGGTGTCTGGGTTCGTCCGGCTGCGGCTCCGCGAAGGAGCGAGGCCGGGGCGGAGGGCGTCCCGCCTCGGAGGCCGCGCCGGGCGGGGGGCGGGAGGCGGGAGGCGGGACCCGGCACCCGGCACCCGGCCCTTCGGGTCGCCCTGGGCCCGGGGGCGGTGCTGGAGGCTGTGCTGTTTGGGGGCAGGAGAACCTGGCCTTGGAGATGAGCCTGAGCGCGGAGCAGGTGTACAACTGGTTCGCCAACTACCGGCGGCGCAGAAGGGCCCTTCTCCAGCGTCGTCCGCCAGCTCCGGAGGACGCGGCGGTGGACCTCCGCGTGAGGGAGACGGCTCCGGAGCCCCCGCAGCCCCCGGGCCAGCCCCGCCTTGGCCCCGGGGGTGCGGCCCGGCCTCAGTGGCCAGGTGAGAGGCTCCCGCGCGCCACGCTCTGCCCGGCACGCTTTTCTAGGGCTAGGCCTAGTGAGCGCCGCTCTGTTCCGGGGGCGGGCCCTCCACGCCCAGTCTGCCCTTAGAGGACGTCCTCTTGTGTGAGTGAGACCCTCGGAGCCGGGGTCGGGGTGGGCTGCAGTGGGCGTGAGTGAGGCTGCAGCCGCTGTTTTACACGTAGAGGTTACTGTGTCCGGGGTCGGGAGTCCGTGAGCAGACCCGAAGCGAGCCAGCCGGCCTGGGGGCGGGCTCCCGGGTTTGCAGTGACGCACTGGCTTCACAGGAGACATGTGAGCGGCGCACGAAGGACACTAATGATGCAGTAGTAGCACCCTTTGCCCGCAGGCAGGGCTGCTCCTAACCCGCTGGGAAGGAGGCTGGGACGCAGAGCTCCAGCAAGCCTCCCCACCACCTGACTGACCTTCAGCAGGACCGGAGGAAGATGGACCTGCACAGTCCGGGGAGACCACTCAAGGGCCATGGGAGTCGCTGGCTCTGGCCCCAGACTTTTCTGGAGATGAGACTCTGCCAAAGCCATTGCCTCCCAGGTACTGCCATCAGCACAGCCCGTGGGACCATCTCCGTATTTACTTTCCCCATCCCGAGTGGGTGAGCGGGCCTGGAGCACACATGTGGATGTTGGGGCTGACAGTGGGACCACGTCAGTGATCGCTGAGAGCAGAGCCCTCCGTGATTCTAGGGTGGGGAAGCCGCTGGTAAGGAGCCCATGTCAGGGACCCCCCACTTGCTCCTTGGAGCCTGGCTCGTAGCCCGACTCATGTATATGTTGGAGAAGGGGGAAAACAGGGTTGGAAGGAAGCACATGCTGGCTTACTTTACAAAGCCAAACCCTAGCTGTTGTTTCTTTCTTACTGTATTTTGTAGTGTTTGTATGTCGTTGAGTCCGTGACAGGTCATAGTTCTTGGATTCCTGATTATGCTCTAGGCGCTGTCCAAGCCTGGTCCCTCACCTAGGATGAGGCATGAACCTGGTGTAAGGGTAAGGAGAGTGCTGGCCATCAGCAGGACTAGGTCTGAGAGAGGGGCCAGGTTCTCCCTTGTGTAACCATCAAGCCGTGGACACTTTTTCCATCTACCGTTGTGACATCGGCATCTCTCATAACCCTCCCTGTCTGCCCTTCCCGTGAAGACTGACAGTGCCCAGGTGTGTGAACTTAGGCAGGTTCCTGTGAGCTCTCAGTGCCGTGCGTTTCTCATCTGCGAGATGGGGAGGGGTATGATGCAGGTGGTTGCAGAAATGACAGGGCTAGGGGAGGGGATCACAGAAGCCCGGGAGCACCGTCTGAGACACACCGAGTGTGCAGTATCGAGTCTTTAAATTATTACCAGCTGCTGCCTGATGTTCTGTAAGATCAGCCACTGTCATTCATCCCCTGCTAGGGTCTTGCTAGTCATTCCCTGCTTTAGGTATTGTGGAACAGTGCTTCATTGAAGGTCCTTTTAAATCAGCAGCTAATGAGTCTTAGTATTTTTTTAACTGTTGTGGAACCCTTGCAGCCACTGGTAGAACAGTGAAATCAGTGTGATTAGGGTCACGGTGGGCCAGAAAGCCGTCAGTGGTTGAGCTGAGTTGGGAACCTGGATTCCCAAATGGGGCTGGAGTTTCCTCCCAGGCCTCTCTTCCCTGGCCTGAGGGAGTCTCTGCCCTCCAAGGGACGGTGTTTGCTGTCTTCCCCAGGTCTCTGCAGGGCAGTGAGATGTACCAGGAGGGTCCTGGCCGAAGCCCTGCCACTCTCCCCCACATCTGCCCAGGCCTTGGCCTCTGCCCTCTGACTGCTGGCAGTGACATGCTGGACTCTTCCCTGGCTGCCCCTGAGTCATGGCTGATGTCCCTTGCACTGGCGTCCTCCAAGGAAGTTTCCTTCCAGACTGGGCAGCTGGTCCATGGGCATGGGCTGGACCTCACGATGCGGCCTGCAGATGCCACTGTGGCTGTGTCCATCACTGCCCTCGGTGAGCCCAGCTCCACAGGTGGGTCCATTCCAGACAGATCGTGCTCTTCTGCACGGGATGCCACAACTAGTCAGGTCTCATTTGAGGGGGTGTGGGAAGGGGCAGCACTCTCCCGCTTTTCTAGTTGCAAAGTAAAATGTACATACGACTAAAAGTAGGACGGTGAGGAAAGGGTTAAAATGAAAGGAGACAGCTGCCACCCTGCACTCCCATTGCCGTCCACCCTGCACTCTGTCACCACGTGCTGCAGCAGAAGACAGGTCACCGCATCTCATGATCTAAGTATCATTTCCTTAGTTTCATGTTAGTTATCGTGTAGCTGTAACTGCCTGTAGAGAGTATGTGTTTAGATACATGTTTGTCTACCAGATTCAAAAGCATCTTGTCACACTTCGCCTTATATGGAGGCAGTTGGCACCGTCAGTTTACCCATCACCTAAATTTCTTAGTCTTCTGTGTTTCTATCTTTACTTTCTTGGGGTTTCTAATTGTCTTCCCTTTTTTTAGATTACCTGTTTTTGTCACACATGTAACTTCTCCCATTTTTCTAAGTGTCTTCTCTGAAGACCAGTGGCTGGGAGGCCTCCTTTCTGTTTCCACCCAAGTGATGTTTCCCTAGACCTGGGGTGGAGTCACCACCCCAAGAACGCTCCTTTCATTGCCTCCCGGGTTTGGGTCAGTGTTTCCTGAGTTGTAGGTCTTGTCCTGTCTTCACTGACTTCCTTGTTATGTTTGAGAACGTCTTCACTGTGCAAGAAAGGGGGCTTGTGAGATAAGTTTGCTGATTCCTTACGTGCTGTGAAGTTATCCTTAACCTGCTTTCAGATTTGATGAATAAATTGGCAGGGACAGAATTTTGAGTTTAAATACTCTCCCATAGGTATCTGCAGATACAGTCATATCATTGTTTGTAGCATCTGATGTTCGTGTCACTTGTTGGCTTCTGTGCAGATCACATATTGTTCCTTTCTTGGGATTTTTGTTTGCTTGCTTTAAGTCTGGGTGTTTGGAAATTTCACAGTGATGGTGTGAGGTGTGTCTCTTTAATCCACTTTCCTATTAAGCCTTTTGATTTAAAGAACAGGTAACAATGTATCCTGTAAGGTTTGGGTATTTTTTGGATAATATTCCTTGATAATTTTCCTCCTCCATGTTCTTCATTCTCTTTAGAGCACAAATCTTACCGGGATTTTGGAAATCTGGGCCAGTCTCCCCAAGTGATTACCTTTTTCTTACGTTTCTTTTCTTTTTTATTGTATATGCTTTGGGGGTGTTAGAGTCTGTCTTTCAAAACTCCTAATTTGATAGTTATGCTTTAAGAGAATTCCAGGCTCTTTTTTTATTTGAATTTTCCTTTAGTCAGGGGTTGTGTTACTTTTTTTTAGGTGCAGTGTCTTTTTTTTTTTTCCTGAGTATTCAAAATATAAAGTTTCAAAATTATGCTTTGTTGTCTGAAGGCGGGAATATTGGGGCTGTGGATTCTGACCCTTCCTTGAGTAGAGAAAGGTGATGGGCCAGAAAGAGGAGGAGCCCTGGAGACTCCTTGCTCTGGATGCAGCTTTTCAGTTTGATCATATCGGTCCTTCATTTGTCCACATCTTCCACTGTGGGAGATCTACGTTTGCCCATCCCATATTTACCGCCAAGGCTGGAGTGGGGTGGTCACTGGCTGTATTCACATGGGGGCGAGGGGAGCTGGTGTTCACACCAGGTCCAGCACAGGTGAGAGGTGACGATCTGTATGACTTGGTGAGCCTCCCTGCTGACTGACCGCCTGAGCACCAGGTTGTTACCCTGCTTTCCCTTCCCCTAACTTCCCTTACCCTCCCTCCCACTTTAAGATTCTCAGGACCTGATCTCAATCCCAGCTTGCTTTCAGGTGCCCTGCCAACAAAGGATCGTGCTTGTGTCCTGGGTCTGCAGAACTGGGGAGGTCTCCCTCCCACTTACTACCCCTCTCCTTATGCTCCTTTTGTTCTGGACTTTTGGCTTCTTCTCTTCCTTTTGGAGGAAGATGATGTAATCTAGTGGTCTTTTAAGTCTGAACCAGCAATGCTCAAATTAGCCCTTCAATTGTATTTAACATGCCTCATAGTGTTTCTAGAGTTCTGCAGAAAAGAGGAAACAGCAGAAAGTGGGGGTGGAATCATGTAATGATGGTCAGGGAAGTTCCTGAGGTTGGGCTGCAGGCTGGCAAGTTAGGTGGTCACTCTGGCAGACAGTGGGGGGGTGGCGGGGGGACAGTGCATGCCCAGCCCAGCTGGGCTGTTGTTTTTTCTGAGGTCAGGGAGTCTGACGCTGAGCTTACCACCGGGTAGACTTCTTACCTTCCCTCGCTCTGAAGTGTCTGCTGGCCCAGAACTGATCCAGTCTACCATGGCTTATGTGTAAGAGTGAGAGACATACGGGGATATCCTCTGCAACATTTTCTATAGGAGGAGGAGCAGGGTAAGGTAGTGCCACATCGCATCTCTGTGAAATCGTGGTGCAGCATGAGATGGAAGGTGGCAGTGGATGTGGCCCAGCCTCTGAAGAGCCAGCACGAGGCAGACCGAGAAGTTCTCACACAGCAGCAGTGGCACTGGAGGCCTGACGTCTGGGTGGATGAAGCAAAATTTGAAGTCCGCAAAACTGGACTTCACTTTTGTTTCTGGAAGCCTAAAAAGGCCATTGAGATCAATAGCTGTGACTAACTCAGTAAGGGAGATTGAGGCTTGGGGCCGGCCAGGCTGGACGCTCCTTCTCTCTGTGGAGGTCTCAGTCTTGGTGCCTGTGGGCTGTGTTCTGTCCTCCCAGCACTGGGGTGTGGAATTTGCTTCTGTGTAGGATTCGCTGACCCACCTGCTGGCAACCCCCCGAGCATGTACCTGGAGGAAGGTGCAGGCACCAGCGGCGGCCAGGCAGAACAGCAGGCCGGCGGCTTCCTGGTGACACAGCCTCCCGAATTCCTCCTAGCCCAGAGGTGAGCCACACAGAGCCATGGGTGGGGTGTTCCAGGTTTATAGACTTGGCACCTCAGATGTGCAGATCAAGTCCTTTCCTTATGGGTTTCTGGAAAATACAACATCATCCCCACCCTACATCTACTAGAAGAGGGTGGTTTTTCCCTGGGACAGAAGAACACCCAGAAATTTCAGAGCAGACACAGGTGTTGGTGTTGGGGCCTGTGCTCCCACTTTGCCTCTTCCCCAAGGTCACCCTGGATCCCAGAAGCTGCTTTTTTGGCATTTTGTTTTCACCAGATGGAGGTTCAGTTTTGTTTTTTTTTTTTTAAGATTTTTTTTATTTATTTGACAGAGATCACAAGTAGGCAGAGAGGTAGGCAGAGAGAGAGAGAGAGAGAGAGAGAGAGAGAGAGAGAAGGAAGCAGGCTCCCCGCAGGGCAGAGAGCCCGATGCGGGGCTTGATCCCAGGACCCTGGGATCATGACCTGAGCCGAAGGCAGAGGCTTTAACCCACTGAGCCACCCAGGCGCCCCTGGAGGTTCAGTTTTTAAGCAGCATCAAGATCCTGATTTTATATTCCAAACTGTAGTTTGAAAGGTGCATGAGAGAGCTGGGAGTAGCCTAGGTGCTGCAGGCTCTGGCTGTGGGGGCCAGGACGACAGGCCAGGAGAATCTGGGGGCTGAGAGGACGGATTAGAGGAGCGTGAGAAGTCAGGGGTCCTCTGTAGGACAGGGACGCTGCAGTAGGGGTTGCCAGGACTAGGTTCCCAATGTTCATAGTCTCCCCAGTCTGGGAGCTGAAGGCCAGGTGCCCAGCACGAGCAGAATTACAGGGCAGCGTGTGAGAGAGAAGGGGAGCGGTTGGTCAGGTCACAAGTTGTGCTTGCTGAAACAGCGTGAGAAAATACAGACTTTGCAGGTGGGCTCACTTTTCTGTTCATGTCCAGGAACCTGGATGGAGAAAATGCCACTGTCAGGTCCCCTCATGGCCGCTCACCCTTGCCCTCTGACGGCCCAGCCCATCCTTGCTCCGATGTGATGACCTTGAGTCATTCTCTAACAGTAGATTCATTGGGAGTCGTTAGCCTTCCGTAAAGCACCGTGTTTAGGCAATACAGATGCTGGTTTTCTGCGTGTGACTTCTGTATCTACCACGTGCCGAGCCGTGTAGATCAGCCGCTCCTGCTGCCGCCTGCAGGACCACAGATCTGCTTTCTTTAGCTGCATTTTTAAAAGTCCCATGGGAATGGAATACGGAAGTGTTAAACTTTGTGGAGGGGAGAGAGGGTCTAGCTTCTCTGACTCTGCTTGAGTGTTTGGGGATTTTACCCTGTTGCTCTGTGTATCGGTCCATTCATCTGTGTGAGTTCTGTCCCTTGATGCGGATGGACCATGGTGTTTGGATCCATCGCCTCTTGGTAGCCATCTCTGGGTTCCCAGTTTGGGGTCTCTGTGAGCACTCCTCGATGCACGTGGGTCTGCCTGTGTGCCTTCACGTCTCTGGGGTGGGTACATGCCTAGGAGTGGAATGGCTGTAGGTGCGTGTTTGTCTTTTTAGGGAACTGCCAGGCTACTGTTGTCCCGAGTGGCTACACCTGTTACCTTCCCTGCTGTCCCTGCTGCTCCCCCAATTGGATTCTGATGGCTCCCCAGGGCTGCCCCTCGACCTCTTCCTTCAGGTTTCTGTTTGTTGGTCCATCTCTGTGAGCCTCCTCAAGTGCTCTCTGCCTCACCCAAGCCACCTGCCTGGGGTGTCACACAGGTCCCTCTAGCACCGGAGGGCCCTGTGGGAGGACACTTCCTAAAGTGTGTCTTACCCCTGGAAGGGCTACTTATATGCAGAGAGCTGTCAGGTCATGTTGCTCGCAGGGTGGACCATGACCTGGTGCCCCTCGATATGGAGCTTGTCCTGACGTCTCTTTTCCAGTCTGCTGGAGTTGGCACCGGGCCCTTCCTTCTCTAGCCCTGTTTCTGCTGTGGACCTGAGCCAGCCCGTGCCCTCTAGCCAGGTGAGAGCCTACCACCAGGGACTCTCGGTGTCCCTCTTAACTTTTGGATCCTCAGGTCATACCTTTGGAGTGAGTAAACCAGGCACATGTCACAAGGGAAGGGGTGCTTCAAGGCTGGACAACAGTTGAATGGGGCCTGGGAGGTGGGTGCTGTGGGCTCGTGTTTCTTACTGAGTCCAGAGATGGGGTGTCCCGGAGTAAGGGGTGGCAGGTGGGAACGTGGAGCCAGGCAGAAGGTGCTTCCGTGTGTAATGCTGTGTTGGCTTTCCAGGTGCAGTGGCCCGACGGCCAGGCCTCCAGTGATGCCTTCTGGGGAGCCAGAATGCTTCTTGAGCTTTCAGGGGGCAGCCTGGGTTGAGATGTCCCTTTGGGGTATCCAGCCAATGCCCCCTGGGGAGCAGGTGTGGACATCGAGCGTTTCAACACATGTTGCATAGAGCTTTATTCCGACTGAAGAGAGGCCCCAGGGTTCCTTCAGGGGGTTCCAGTGGGAAGCACTGAGGCTGCGTAGCCCCCTGCCGTGTTTGCGTAGTTTGGTTGGCAGCTCACTGTATCAGAGGAAGCATTTGAGAAACGCTCTTGAGCTCAGAAGTCCAAGGGGTCTGTTTCACTCAGGCAGTGGGAGATTGTGGATTCGAGCTCCTGGGCATGTAGGTTATGGGCAGGGAAGGCCTTTCTGGAGATAAAGGAGAATGTTGCACGGCTGTCTGCCCTCCCTGCCCTATGACAAGGCCGAACTTCACCCAGCTAAGTTGGCGAGTGGGGTGTGGGCAGTGTTGTGACACTTCTCTGTCTTGGGGGTGATGTGGTTGGGACGGCTCAGGCAGGGTGGGCCAGGGTGCCTTTTCCCTGCAGGTTGGAGTTCACTGTGTTTGTAAAACAGATGTTCTGTTGAATTAAATTACAATTCAGTGTTCTGAACTCTCCCCTTTTACTGACCTGACTACATCTTGGACACCTGTCCCTGTCAGTCCTTTGCCTTTCTGTCCCTGGCTGGCATTTCGTGGCCTGAGTGTGCTTTGAGTGATGTACCGGTACCCTGCTGATTTGATTGTTTCTAATATGTCTGGTTTATAGGCAACACCACAGTGGGCATCTCTGCCCTCTGCCCTTCACCTGACTATTTTATTGTGGGAAAAGGAATTTCCCTGGTGCTAGATGCCACCATGTCCAAGCACGCAGGGCCCCAGGGGCCGAGTGTGATGTGACTCCTGATGCAGATGACTTTCTTTGTACAGGGGTGACTTTGACACTCAGGACTGTCACTGGCAGGAATAAGCCCTTAGTCCTTGCCTCACCCGTTGTATCAGTTGAAAGTTGTGTGCTGAGCAGTTCCTCTGATACATCAGGGAGCAAAGGCCGTTTAGTGCTCGCAGGTGGCTCACAGGATGGACAGGAATAAACCGGCAGTCGTGGGTGGTGGCTGAGAAGGTGGTGTGAAGCGAGGGATGGCTGAGAGCCCAGGATATGTGGTGCCTGAATGACAAGACACTGAGAGCTTCCTGAAGGGGGGCAGCTGAGTTGAGACACCTGTGCTCCCCAACCACAGCCCCCCCAGGGCTCTCAGCTGTACTCCTCTCCCCTCACCTTTACTCTGTAGACCCTGGACCCATCACATCCCTTCCTCTTCGCCACATTGGTGCTGCCCAAGCACCAGCAGTAATATGTACTTCCTTTCAGGGACACTCACTCTCATCCTGTTCCCTAGAATCAGGAATCTTTTAGTTGTCAAATACTTCTTTATTCTGAAACAGTCACAAACTTAAAAAAAGTTACAAATAGAGCACAAATTACTGAGCTGATGCCTGTACTCCGTGTGTGTGTGTTTCCTTTAGATAAGGAATTCTGCATTCCTCTAGTGCGGTCATCAGTCAGGAAGTCAGGAAGTCAGTGCTGGTCCTTCACTGCCTTCTTCCAGACCCCATGAAAGTCAGTTGTCCCAGCAACACTCTAAGTGACAAATCACATCACGTAGCCCATGCTGAGTGCTCTCGACTGTCTTACTGCCATTCAGGCCACAGCAGTGTGCTTGAATGACCTTGACACTTTGGAAGAGTACAGGCCAATTACTCTGTAGAATGTCCCCCAGAATGGCCATGTCAGACATTTTCATGTAATTTGGAAAATTCCTTTTTTGGATGGACTATCGCAGAAGTGACACGAGGCACTTACCGTGTCTTACAGATGGCACATGATTTTGGTTGTCCCATTATTGTTGGTGCTCGTTTGATCCCTTCATTAGGGTGTTTCCTGCCAACCCTCTCCGCTATAGTTACTCTGCTTGTATATTTTGGGAGGTCGTGCTTTGCAGCTGTGCAAACATGCTGTTCTTCATCAAGCTTTCCATTGACTCATGAATTTCTTTGGTGTGCTTCCATTTTCATAATTCATGAACACGTTACTAACCTAGTTCTGGCATCAGAATGGCACCAGCTTCCCTCATGTACTGTCACAAAGTCTATGCCTGTGAAGATTCACTCTTCAGCCTTATGGGCCAGTCAGCCAAGTGGTGATTTGTTTTAATTATTGGGGTATTTAACTCATCGTACATTGCCTGTCACCATGGGAAGCACGGCTCAAACTCATCCTGCCCTCAGTCATTCACAGTCTGCATGAAATATCTGCACAGTTGATAAACACTTTAGAGAGGGTTAGGGATTAACCCTGGGTTGTCAAGGCCCTTTGGCCTTCCATGGGAATGTGCAGAGCTCTGGACCTATCCCAGTCTTAGCCTTTCCCGAGCCACAGGGAGGTACCTATGTGTGAGGCAAGAGCCTCCTGAACAGGCTGTGCGAGCACCTCCTGGGTAGCTTCCTCCCCCTACCCTTTACAGATACCTGACTTGATCCTGAAAGTTCCAGAGCACAGACTCAGCCAGCTGGATTGTCTCCATTTTGTGGCAAATGGACTGAAGTCTCTGGAGCTGACTGTTAACTGAGACCCGAGCTCCTTTGGAGGGCCTCCTATGCAAAGGTCAGATGTCCTGTGAGGCTGGAGGCCTCATCCCCTCCCACATGCCCAGCACCTGTGGGAGTGGCCACTCCTCTCAATGTCCTGCCACTTAGCTGCCACCCTGAGGTCCACCACTTCCCTTTCTGCTGTCTTGATTCCAGGCTCCTTTGAGAAGAGGAATGTTGGCTCTACAGACTATTCTGCCCTCACCCCCTTAAGGGGCCAGCCTGGGTCCAGTGGACATAGGTGAGGTGCTGTGACCAGGTCGAGGGTCCTCTTTTTGTGTCTTGCTGAGGCACTTGCCCTCCTGAGATGAAAAAGGGTATGGTGGTGGTTTCAAATGGCTGATAGTTCTCAGAGGGGCCCAGAGGAGATGTCAGAGAGACTTTCCGGGCTCCAGTAATGGCAGGGGGGATGTTCAGTGACTAGCTCCAGGGAGGTCAGCTTCTCCGCCTCTCCTTGTCTACATAGTTGTGTGGGCCCCAGGAGCTTGAGAGCTGTGGCCAGACCTCCCACACAATCAGGCCCAGAAATGATCACCCAACAATGGCCCCAGTGTATGAAGGGTCCTGCCTTCACCCCCACTGTCCATGGTGTGGAGACTGATGGAGAGGGCATAGGGTGCCTGTATTGATCTCTTAGGCCAAGCTACGTGGCACAAAATAACAGATTTGGAGGTGTGATATGGGTGATGTCATTGTCGTGAAGGCTCAAGGGGCGCTTTCTCCAGGTTCCAGTACTTCCTTGATTCGGGACTGCAGAGCGCCAGTCATCGTCGTCTTCTTTCTTTCTTTTTTTTTTGAAAGATTTTATTAAAAAAAAAAAAAAAGATTTTATGTATTCATTTGAAAGAGAGAGAGAAAGAGAGCATGAGAGGGGAGAAGTAAGAGGGAGAAGCAGACTCCCTGCTGAGCGGGGAGCCCAATGTGGGACTTGATCCCAGGACTCCAGGATCATGACCCAAGTCAAAGGCAGTTGCTAATCAACTGAGCCACTTCTTTACTTGATCATCTCTGAAGACTGTATTTTCATATCAGGTCTCATTCAGGGATTTTGGGGATTATGATTTCTGCATATGGGAGGGGAAAAAAGATGGTGGAGGAGTAGGGGACCCTATTTCAGCTGGTCCCCTGAATTGAGCTGGATATCTGCCAGACCATTCTGAACCCATGAAATCAACCTGAGATGTAAGAAAATATGTCTGGAGCTCTACAAACAGAATATCTCTGGCAATTGGTCTTGAGGTATGAAGTGGGGAGCTGTGTGATTCTGCAGGCAAATAATGGAAGATAAACAGAAGGGGAAGGGATCCTCTGTGAACTTGTGCCAGGAAGTTGAGGTAACAAAAGCCTCCTGCCGGGGCGCCTGGGTGGCTCAGTGGGTTAAGCATCTGCTTTCGGCTCAGGTCATGGTCTCAGGGTCCTGGGATCAAGCCCCGCGTCGGGCTCTTTGCTCAGCGGGAAGCCTGCTTCCCCCTCTTTCTCTGCCTGCCTCTCTACCTACTTGTGATATCTCTCTCTGTCAAATAAATAAATAAAAATCTTAAAAAAAAAAAAAGCCTCCTGCCTGGGGACTGGGCACAGACTTGCAGACAAGTAGCGGCAGGGAAAAGACTTTAGGGTAGCCCCCCAAACAGAAACCTGGAGCTGTGGGTGCGCACTTATGAACTGGGGGCGGTTTGCAGCTTTAGAAGCACAAAGGACAGAGACATGCCCAGCCCTGGGAGTGACGGCTGGGGGAGCTGGTGTGGGGTGCACAACCCAGAATGCTGCGGGTTTTAGCAGCGCAGAAGTGAAGACAGTGTGGCCTGGAGAGCTCAGTGAAGATCAGACTGCGATCTCTCTGCTTTGAAACAGAGGTTTGTATGTGGTTACTTGTCTGACTCTCAGAAGAGATGTGGAAAGCTGCTAGGGAAAGCCGCCAGAGAACAAAAGTCCCAGAAAACTAATGTTCACTGAGCCCACCCCCCCGGGGGGCAGGGCAACTCTGCCTAAACCGGAGTTAACAGTGGACTGAGTAACAGCATGGCAGGCCCCTCCCCCAGAAGACAGGCTGGAAGAACAAGAGGCCGACAATCCCAAGGTCCCTATAAAACAGGTGCATCTTGCTTGGGTTGTGGTCAATACTTAGGACTCTGTACATTCCCTCAACCACCCCTCAACAGAATGACTAAAAGGAGGAACCCCCAACAAAGGAAAGAATCAGAGACCGTGGCCTCTGCCACAGAACTAATGGATATGGATATAACCAGGATGTCAGAAATTTACTTCAGAGTAACAATTATGAAGGTGATATCTAGGCTTGAGAAAAATATTGACAGTATAGAATCTCTAAGGACAGAAATGAGGTGTAATCAGGCCAAACTTAAAAATGGTATGAATGAAATGCAGTCTAAACTGGATACTCTGACTGCCAGGGAAAATGAGGCAGAAGAATGAATTGGTGAGCTAGAAGATAAGATGATAGAAAAGAAGGAAACTGAGGTGGCATGGGAAAAAGATTAAAGCCCAAGGGATCAAATAGATTAATGACTCAATGAAACATTCCAGTATCAGAATTATTGGGATCTTTGGGGGTGGAGATTATATATATATATTTGAGCAAATCGTATCTGAGGGCTTCCCTAATTTGGGGAAGGAAACAAGTATTCATGTCCAAGAGGTAAAGACGACCCTTTCCAAGATCAATGAGAACAGACTGATGCCGTGACATATAATAGTACAATTGGCAAATCTTAGATCCAAGGAAATGATCTTGAAAGTGGTGAGGGGGAAGAGATTTCTTATGTTAAGAGGGAGGAACATCAGATTAAGGTCAGACCTGTCTACAGAGACCTGGCAGGCCAGAAAGGGCTGGTGAGACATAAGCAGGATAAAGAACATGCAGCCAAGGATACTTTATCCAGCAAGGTTGTCATTCAGAATGGATGGAGAGACAAGGCTCTTGCAAGACTGGGGAAACA